CAGGATTCCTCCGGATTCCTGAAGAGATCTCTCCTGATTCCTGAAGGTTTCTCAGGATCCCCTCGAATTCCGGAGGATTCCTGAGGTCTCGCAGGATTTCCCCGGATTCCTGAGGATTCCTGAAAGTCTCTCAGGATTCCCCCGAATTCTTGAGGATTCCGGAGGGTCTCTCGGGGCGTCGGCGGTGCCATTACCTCGCGCGCTGGGGGTCATGTTGACGCGAGTTCCAGAATAACTCCCTCAAATAAGGTGTGCCAACATTAATGCGACTGCAACGCTGCAAAGGACGGTGCACGGTGGATATATATATATATATATATATATATATATAGCTATATGTATACATATATGTATCGTGCGAAGTGTGCATGGAAGACTCGCAAGCCTCCTGAGGGCTGGCGAGGTCCCGCTTGGATCTTCCAGGGGGCCCCGCTGTGCTGGCCCCCCCCCCCCTAGCAGACCTCGAAAGCGGCGACAGTTTCACACTTCGCAGCCCCCCCTGGGGATGGCGAGGCATTTTTTCGTGATCTGCGTGGGGCCCAGCCTTCGAGAGTGGCGACAATCTCACACTTGAGGGACGCGAGAGGAGAGCACGTAGTCCCACCCGCAACCTGGGCGGACCGAGGCCGAGAGGGGGAAGAACGACGAAACGGTGGCCTCGAGCAGCCGGTCACGGTCACGACGGCGCACGAAGGAGTCGTGACTGTGGATGGGGGAGGGGTTCTTCAGGCGGCCGAGAAGAGGAGGAGAAGGATGATGGAGGAAAGAAGACAGAAGAGGGATGTAGAATGTATGAGGGGGGCGGACGGGGGAGGAAAGAGGCATAAAGTCGAAGTGTGGAAGCAATCGGTTGGAAGAGGACTGGCACCATGAGACAGACAACACCCCCTCCACTCTGCCTGAACCTCCCTGGTGGAGGCGCCGAGCTGTGTCCTCAAGATCGCGATCTCGCGGAGAATCCGTTTCCCATCGACGACGTGCTCGAACACCTGCATGAGGAGAGGGGGCAACAGGAACTGGAGAGGAGGGCGACACAATGGCAACTAGGCGTGCGGGCTGTGCAAGGCGGCCCTTGCTTGCACGAGGTGGAGACCTTGCCGACCACGATGCGTACTATCCGCTACCGTGCCCTGAAGCACGAATGTAGGGCGACTAAATCTATGCATATCCACTGCTCCCTGGCCAGGCCCGTCCTGAACCCAGCAGCGGTGCATACGCGACGCCCTCCTGGCCTGGCCAGGAGGGCGTATACACAGCTCCTGGGCCCAGGAAGGGTCCGGCCAGGGAGTAGTGGAACTCTATTGATTTCGCCGCCTCGGGTCAATTTAAGATTAGAGTCCTCCGTCCTCATTCCCTAGAATTCTTGAAGTGGCCCACGGCCTGGAACTCTCGGGGGCTCGCGGGCGCTTCGTGGACTTCCCGCGTTAACTGTTCGGAGCCGAGAGGGGCCCACGGCGGCCCGAGAGGGCGCCAAGAGGCCACAGAGACGGTCCAAAAGCGCCCCGAGTCGCCCGAAGGTCGCCCGAAGGTCGCTCAGGATGGCCTCCAGACGGCCCAGGCCCCCTAGACGCCCCAAGAGGGCTCCAAGAGGGCCCCAAGAGGCCAACATCATGTCTTTCCCGTAGGTGTTCGACATATTCGAGCGTTCTCGCAATTTTAGGCTGTCGACGCCCCAAGACGGTCCCAGAGGCCTCCGAGGCGGCCCAAGAGGGCCCCAAGAGAGGCCCTGAGGGACCCGAGGGGCAAACCGAAGGTGCCCAGGGGCCAAGATAGCCACAAAGTCACCATGAGGCCCCAGCTGGGATCGACTTGACCCAAGTGGAACCACCTCCGTGCCACTTGAATCATACAGCTAGCATCCAAGAGGGAGCATCCAAGAGGGAGCATTCGCGACACCTCTGACCTACTACTTGGGCACGGTGGGGAGAGTCGCCCAAGGCCACTCGATCCGCCGCCTTGTCCTTTTTGAAAGCTCGCTGTGGACCTTCGGCCGCTAGCGCCAGCCACCCAGAAGGGCGCATGAAAATCTCTCCCGTCGGCTTTCTCTCTCTCTCTCTCTCTATCTCTCTCTCTCTCTATTCCCCTCTCTCCCCATGGAGACCGGTAAACTTCCAAGATCGTCGATCTTCCCGCTCCAGACGGCCTCAACATGGCATCTAAGACAGCCAAAATGGTTCCCAAGACGGCTACGATGGCCCCAAGAGAGCCCAATATGGCCCCAATATGTTTCCAAGACGGGCCCACGTGCCCCCCAATTGGCCCAAGATGGCCTCAAGATCACCCGAGACGGCCCAAGAGGCCTCCAAGAGTCCAACAGTACCTTCAAGAAGGCTCGAAGGTGCCACACTAATTGAAAGATTGCGGCGTTTGCTCATGTTCGGCTTTCCGAATACCCAAAACTGCCCTGGAGGCCACCAAAATGGCCCCAAGAACGCCCAAGAGGCCTCCGAGATGCCCCCTCTGGCCCCCTGACGGCCCCAAAGGTACTCAAAACCTATGCTTTTTCTGAATGTTTACCCAGCGTGCTGGAAATCCTTTTCTAAAGTTTCTCACCTCCCAAAAAACATATAAACGCTACAGTGGCGTTTTGAGCTCCGTTTTTTCCTCCAAGCAACTTGTCATATCAATTGGTTGCGCTGTATAACAGTGCCGTTTACAACGTCCTCTGTTCCTTCTTCTTGCGTCCACTCCACCCTGTGTTTTTTATTGTAAGTATGTTTCTCTTTTCTGGTCGTCGCTGCTGGTTGATCTCGGGGCCACCAGGCCTGTTCCGCTCCGGTATTAGACTGGTGTAACATATATTTATATATATAGAGAGAGAGAGAGAGAGAGAGAGAGAGAGAGAAAGAGAGAGAGAGAAAACAAAAAGAAACATAGAGAGAAAGAGAGAGAGAGAGACAGAGAGGAAGAAAAAGAGAGAGAGAGAGAGAGAGAGAGAGACAGAGAGAGAAAGAGAGAGAAAGAGAAAGAAAGAGGGATACATAGAAACAGACATATGTTTGGCTCCGCGCTCTGCGCGAAGAGCGGGGGGGGGGCGGGAGGCGGCAGGAACGGGAGAGCGGGAGCGAATACGGCACTGAAGACAAGGAGCAGCCTCTGACAATCAAGCAAATGACGCTTAAGCGAAGACGATCCACAGCGACGGGCCTGCGATGCAAAAAACAGAAAACAAATGTTCCGACGGTGGGACCCCGCATGGGAATCCTCTCGGCCAGCCTGGAAATGCCCCTCATCGTCGTCCTCGCGATTGGTGAGCGTCATCACTGCCTCCTCTGCATCATTCTCCTCCTCGCCATGGCGCAAGCCCTCCTCCCGCTTCCTACGTTGCCCCCTCGTCGCCCTCCTGGCTTTTTCGCCCCCCGCCATCTCCTCCTTCTCTGTTGTAAGAGCGCGCGTGTCGATGTTCCTCGGCGCCGTCGCCGCCTCGGCCAGCATGGGTGCATTCTCGAGTGGCCGCGTCGCGCAGCCGTTGGGGCAATCCCGCGGGCCAGGCCGTTGGGATAACCCCGCGAGCTGCTGAGGCGCGGGAGCAAGTCGTTGGGACAACCCTGCAGGCACCGAGCTAGTCGCGGCCGCGCTCAGGCAGGATGCAGCATGAAACCCAGCTCTGCCGCGAGCTGCTCCGCCTCTGCCCTCTTGCCGAACTCCCTTAGCGCCCCTTTGCCATGGACGCCGGCGGCCCGCTCTCGGGGAACTCCCGTGGGGGCGGCCGCAGGATCAGCATGTTCCGCATGCGCGTGGCGCGGGAGAACGTGACGCACCGATGCAGCATTCCTCCTCTTCTGATGGGACGAGCGAGTGGCCCTCAACCCAAAAAAGACCTCGTTCGGATTCCTCTGCGTTCCCAGTGGATCCGATGGCTCGCTCGGGTTCCAACGATCTTTCAGAATTGGAGGAGGGAGGAGAGAGAGAGAGAGAGAAAGAAAGAAAGGAAGAGAGAGAAAGAGAGAGAAAGAGGGAGGATTAGAAGGAGGAGGAGGGGGAGGAGGAAGAGGAGGGGGAGGAGGAGGAGGCGTTGGAGGATCCCCTTCGTCGGAGCTCGGAAAGATCCAAGCTATTGCGAGGGGTTCTCCCAAGAACCTCCTATCATCTGGAACCTTCCCTTCCTCTTTTCCTCTCTCCCCTGATTCCCCCTCCCTTCCCAGACCCCGCCCTCTCCGTCCCCCTAGGGAGCTCCCCCGGTCTCGAAGTCCCCGACCAAACTTCCTCCATATCCATGCCGGAGGAGCCTGGTCGCATTCTAGGTTGCAGGTCTGCTGGCGGCCAGCTCAGATTCCGACATGGAGATGGGGCTCCCAAAGAAAGGGGGTTCCCGCCTGAGGCTTCCCGGCAACTCGCTCACAGACGAGGCTACCGCCTGAGACTTCGTCAAATTTCAGGCCCGAGGAGCTCGAAAGTGACGACAGTTACAGGTTCTTGATGACCCGCTTAGATGAAAAACATGAGACCCAGGCCCCTTAGGGATGGGGCTCCCGCCTGAGACTTTCCGCAATTCACTCACCGACGAGGCTCCCGCCTGATACTTCCTCAAGTGTGGGTGTGAGTGAGTGGGTGAGTGACTGAGTGAGTGAGTGAGTGACTGAGCGAGTGAGTGAGTGAGTAAGTGGGTGAGTGAAGCTGACGATGATGCTGATGATGGTGTGTGTGTGGGTGGGTAGGTGGATGAGTGGGTGGGTGAGTGCGAGAGTGAGTGATGATGATGATGATGCTGATGATGATGATGACGATGACGATGACGATGACGATGACGATGATGATGATGATGATGATGATGATGATGATGATGATGATGATGATGATGATGATGATGATGATGATGATGATGTGTGAGTGAGTGAGTGAGTGAGTGAGTGAGTGAGTGAGTGAGTGAGTGTGCGAAGGGAGGAGAGGGGATGGGAGGATATCCTGCGCGGAGGTGTGCAGAGGAAACAATAATCCCACTTAAGATGTTGGGAACAGCAACTCAAAACCATGTCGCGTTTTTTAAATCGTTTTCTTGCTTGCCGAGAGCCCAGACTGCAAAACTGTAAAAAAAACCCAGGGCGATTCTAAGAATAACCAAAATCAAGAGCGTCCCAAGAGGGCACGAAGGCGGTCCAGGAGACCTCCAAGATGCTCAAGACAGCCTCGAAAACGGTCCCGAAGCGCTCCAAGAGGGCTCAAATCAAAATCGGCTCACAGGGGATCTATCTATCTATCTATCTATCTATCTATCTATCTATCTATCTATCTATCTATATCTATGTATCTGTATATGTATATATACATATATATATATATGTATCTCTCTCTATATATATGTATCGGAGGTTGGGGGGTGAGTCCGACGTGAGACGGAGACCCCCCCTACCAGGAAATCGATTTCGATTTCGGGTTCGTGTCGTGCGTGCCGTGCGTGCGTGCGGGCGAGGCGAAGCTGCGTGGGCAGGCGAAAGGAAATCCTCCTGTGGCTGGGCCGCGGCCGGACCAAATGTTTCTCCTCCGGCGGCCGGTGGCCCGTGGTGTCCCGCTGGTGTCCCGCTGGTGTCCCGAAATCCTCCTGTGGCTGGGCCGCGGCCGGACCAAATGATTCTCCTCTGGCGGCCGGTGGCCCGCGGCGTCCCGCCGGTGTCCCGCTGGTGTCCCGAAATCCTCCTTGGCTGGGCGGCGGCTGGACCAAATGATTCTCCTCCGGCGGCCGGTGGCCCGCGGTGTCCCGCTGGTGTCCAGCTGGTGTCCCGTTGTGTCCCGTGGTGTCCGCCGTTGTTAAGGCGAAGTCGAGACAAATGATTATCCTCCGTCCGGCGGTGGCTCGCGATGTCCCGTTGTGTCCAGGGGTGTCCCGTGGTGTCCGCTGTTGCTAGGGCGAAGTCAAGACAAATGATTATCCTCCTTCCGCCCGTCCAACGATGGCTCGCAGTGTCCCGCGGTGTCCCGTGGTGGCCCGTGGTGTCCCGTGGTGTCCCGTGGTGTCCCGTTGAGTGAGACCGATAGTGAGATCAATAGTGAGATCGATAGTGAGATCGATAGTGAGACTGATACTGAGATCGATGTGGTGCCCCGAGGTGTCCCGTGGTATCCCAAACAGTGAGATCGATAGTGAGATCGATAGTCAGATCGACAGGTGTCCGTGGTGTCCCGTGGTCTCCCGTTGAGTGAGATCGATGATGAACTCGATAGTGAGATCGATGTGGTGTCCCGAGGTGTCCCGTGGTGCCCCGTGGTATCCTATGGTGTCCCGTTGAATGAGATCGATATTGAGATCGATAGTGAGACCGATAGTGAGATCGACAGGTGTCCCGCGGTGTCCCGTGGTGTCCAAAGGTGGCCCGTGGTGTCCCGTGGTGTCCCGTTGAGTGAAATCGAAAGTGAGATCGACAAGTGTCCCGTGGTGTCCCGTTGAATGAGATCGATAGTGAGATCGACAAGTGTCCCGTGGTGTCCCGTGGTGTCCCGTTGAGTGAGATCGATAATGAGATCGATTGAGTCAGATGTTGATTCCCCCCCCTCTCCCCCCCACACAACCTCCTTATCACCCGAAGGGTGGCCGTATAAGTGTATGTATGTATGTATGTCTGTATGTAGGTGTGTAGGTGTGTAGGTGTGTGTAGGTAGGTATGTATGTATGTATGTATGTATGTATGTATGTATGCATGCATGCATGCATGCATGTATATATGTATGTATGTATGTATGTATGTATGTATGTATGTATGTATGTATGTATGTATGTATGTATGTTTGTATGTGTGTATGTATGTATGTATGTACGTACGTACGTACGTACGTACATACGTATGTATGTATGTATGTATGTATGTATGTATGTATGTATGTATGTATGTGTGTGTATGTGTGTGTATGTGTGCATGTGTGTATGTGTGTATGTGTGTATGCATATAGGTAGGTAGGTAGGTAGGTAGGTAGGTAGGTAGGTAGGTAGGTAGGTATGCATGCATGTATGTATGTATGTGCTCTATATATGTCTGCCTTAGAGCACTCTTGATCTGCCTTAGAGCACTCGTGGGGGTCTCTTGATGCCCTCTTGGGGGCCTCTTGCGGGTTTTTTGAGCTCTCGTGGGGCCGTTGGGGACCTTGGCAGATCCTCCCTTCTGGATGCACAGATCATCGCGAACAAACACATGGTTTTGCCGAACCAAACTGAACACACATGTTATATTTGTTTGCTCATGGTTTAGGGTCCTCTCGGGGGCTGCTTGGAACCCTCTTGCAGCATTACTGGGCCATCTTGAAAGCATCTGATTTCCCCTCGGAGCAGCCTCTTGAGGCCTCTGAGTGGCCTACCTGACGCGTCATGGGGCCCTCCCTCTTGTGCCCTCTTGGACGACTCTGGCCGTCATCCTCCAAGTCCTGCGAATGGCCCGCGAGGCCACTGGCGATTTGGAATGGAACCCCACTTTTCCGCCCCCGAGGTAGGATGTACGAGAAAAAACTCTCGAGGCCGTGATCCGAAAAAGGCGATTCGAAAGATCAGCACTGATCAACCCCATCCTAGCGCTGAACCCCAGCAGACGCGGATATGAGTAAGTGGCTGCGGTGTGCGTTGACGTTCCAGGCCGAGACATACTGCCGCATCGGGCGCAACTCGTGTCCAACAGCTCGCTGGATGATTGTCTGTGAAACTGAGATTAGGTCGGGCATGTTCTCCTACGGGCGGATTTTGGAGGAAATTCAGAAGATTCGAACCTATTCAAGAACATCAGACATGCTAAAAACGTCGTTCCCAGACGTTTTTGTGTGTGTGAGAGAGAGAGAGAGATTATTTCTTAAACATTCCTCCTGTAGAGGCACACGCCCGACTTAGAACTAAGAAGAGCCCCCACTCTTGCTTGTCCACGGCGGCCCCTCGAAATGAGGAGCGACGTGCTCTGGGAGCCCCCACAAGCTCCCGCGCTGTCGGCGGGGCTACCCCACAGCATCCTGCAAGAGCGATGCCTCTCTCCCTGCCCTCCCGGGGCCCTCCAGAACCCATACGGTGGAGGATAACACGTGCTGAACACTCCCCCTCCCCCCCAAACTCAAGGTTGGCACGCGCGGGGGAGACTGCGGTCGAGTTGCAACTCATCAGACCCACCGCCAACCTTGAGCATTGGGGGGAGGGGGAGGCGTTGACAGAGGAATGCGGCATGAGTGCTCGCTATTTTTTCCGAGGCCTGTACCATCCTGCAGAAGTGATGCAACTCTCCCTGCTCCCCAGGACCCCTCAGAACCCAGAGGGGCGCCCACAGACGCGCAGAACCGCCTGACACTCATGTCCTCGAGCGACGACGACGACACTGAAGACGACGACGACGACGACGACGACGACGACGACGACGACGACGACGACGACGACGACGCTGACGACGACGACGACGACGATGACGACGACGACGACGACGACGCTGACGACGACGACGACGACGACGACGACGGCAGCGGCGGCAACGGTGGCGACGACGACGGCAACGGCCCCCGACTGCCTCTGGCCTCTAAGGAGCCCTCTGGATGTCCTGCGTGAGATCAAGGCCAGAGCCTCCGGCGAAGACGATCACCGCATCGCTCTTGCAGCCCGTCGTGCGCTCCGTGGATCATCGACCCCGGGCCCCCGATGCGGGCCCTGGCGCCCCCACACGCCCCCCCCCCCTGCCCCTGGGCGCCTCGCCCAGCTCCCCCCTTTTTCGGCGGCATGCCCAGGGGGGAAGTGAGACGGGGCGGGCCTTCTCAGGATGCTCGGAAGGCCTCGGGCCTGCTGACCCGTTTTTTCTGGGCCCTCCTCCGAAGACGCAACACAAACTTCCCCAAAAGGCGCGAGGGCTTCTGAGAAGTCCCGCCGCCTTCTGAGCAGGCCTTCTCCTTCTCACTCCGCCCCCCCGCTCACCGCCGGTTTTTGGGTCATAACTCGGGCCTCTGGCGACGGCTCGGGACGATCCGGGCACCCCTGGAGCGCTCTCGGCGAGGCGCAGCCGCTGGAGATGCCGCATCCCGAGGGTGGGAGACCGCCGAGAACCGACGAAACCGCGAGCAAGCCGCCGAGAACCGACGGAAACGCCCGAAAGCTGCTCGCTTCCCCCCCTCGCTCGCCGTCAGGAGGAGGAGGAGGACGAGGAGGAGGAGGAGGAGGAGGAGGAGGAGGAGGAGGAGGAGGAGGAGGGATTTTTGCGTCTCCCGCGGGCAGCAGCCGCTCCTTCCCTCCCGCGGGCAGGAGCCGCCCCTCCCCCTCCCCGGCGAGGAGGCGCCGCGCCCGCGGGTCTGCCCGCAGCGCGGCGGGCAGGGCCCGGAAGTGGGCGGGCAGCCTGGGCGCAGGCTTCCTGCCAGGGCTCGAAGTGAAACCGTGCTTTCCGTTGTCGTTTTGTTTTCGTGATCCCCGTAGTTCTGCCTTCGCTCCACACTTGCTGCAGAAGCGAGGCCAAAACGAAAACACGGTCCACGCAATTGCCACAACACCGTTTAGCTCCGGCCCTGCTTCCTGCCGGAGCGCAGCACCTCCTCGGACGGCAGCGACGGGTGCGGCGCGATGACGCTCGAGCCGGAGCGCAGCCGGGCCCTCGGGGCAGCAGACGTCCAGAGCGCCCGCAGCGTCTCGTTCCCGCCGCCGTCGGGGCCCAGGCGGCTGCGCTCGGCCTGCTCCTCTGTGATGGACCGGTTCTTCAGCTCCAGGCGCAGTCGCTTCCGGAAGGTGTCGAGGCCGTCGTCCGCGGCAGCGAACTCGTTGAAGGACCACGAGAGCGCCGCGACGCCCCAGCCGCTCAGCCCGGCGAGCCTCTCGCGCACCGCCCGCCTGGCCATGGCCTTCAGCATCCCCTCCTCTCGTAGCAGGGCGAGTCGAGACAGTGACAGCTCAAAGTCGATCCCAGGACCCCTTCCGGGGTCCCAACTCTCAGAGCTGCGTCCAGTCGTGGCGACTAGGGGGGCCCGAAGACGACCAAGTACTGTTGTCTCAACACGCCCTCTTCTGATCCTCGTGCCAGCCCATCTCGGCGAACATGCACGCGATGCGCCACATGTCGTCCAAGTACTCCTTGTTCCAGTGCCTCGCCTGCGGGGCAATGACATGGGGGGACTGGCATACGGGGGAAAACATCGACCTTGAATCGGCGATGCATCGCCAATACATCGGCGATGGGCCCCCTCGATAGGGAATCCGCACACCCCTGGGCAGGTTGGGGCTATCGGGCCCCTATCGACGGTCAATGGTCAAATCCTCCCCTATGCCGATCCCCCCTAGCCTATCCCAAGAGGAGGAGGAGGAGGAGGAGGATGAGGAGGAGGAGGGGGAGGAGGAGGAGGAGGAGGAGGAGGAGGAGGAGGAGGAGGAGGAGGAGGAGGAGGAACAACGCCACAGGGAAATGAGGAAGACGCCACAGGGAAACCTTAGGACGGTCTAACGTCAGGAGGAGGAGGAGGACGACGACGGAGGACGACGAGGAGGAGAGGAGAGGAGGAGCTGATCGCCTGCTGCGTCGTGATGTTGACGAGGATCTCCCGCGTGCCCCGCTGCAGCGGCCTCGCGCCCCCCTCGGCCAGGCGCCACAGCAGCTCGACCAACTCCGTGAGGCCCGACCCCGCCGGGGTGATCAGCGCGGGGTGCTGCAGCCGGCGCACGAGCTCCTCTTGGGGGTCCCAACAGCCTCCTCCTCCTCCTCCTCTTCTTCTTCTTCTTCTCCTTCTTCTCTCTTCTTCTTCTTCGTCCTCTTCTTCTTCGTCATCCTCCTCCTCCTGCTCCTCCTCCTCCTCCTCCCTCCCTCCCTCCTCCCCCTCCCTCCCTCCCTCCCTCCCTCCCTCCCTCTATCTCTCTCTCTCTCTCTTTCTCCTCCTCCTCCTCCTCCTCCTCCTCCTTCTCCTCCCTCTCCTCCCTCCCTCCCTCCCTCTCTCTCTCTCTCTCTATCTCTCTCCTCCTCTTCCTCCACCACCTCCTCCTCCTCCTCCTCCTCCTCCTGCTCCTCCCCCCCCTCCTCCCCCCTCCTCCCTCCTCCTCCTCCTCCTCCTCCTCCTCCTCCTCCTCCCTCCTCTCCTCCTCCTCGCTCTCCTCACCCTTTCTTCCCCTCTCCTCCTCCTGCTCCTCCCTCCTCTCGCTCCTCCTCCCTCCGCTCCTACCCCCCTCCCCCTCCCTCCTCCTGCTCCTACTCTCCCTCCTCCGCCTCCTCCTCCTCCTCCTCCTCTCCTCTTCCTCGTTTTCCGCCTCCTCTCCTCCTCCTTCTCCTCCTCCTCCTTCTCCTCGTCCTCTTCTCCTTATCTTCCTGTCTCTCTCTCTCTCTCTCCTCCTCCCTCCTCCTCCTCCTCCTCCTCCTCCTCCCTCCTCCTCTCCTCCTCTCCTGCCTCTCCCTCCTCCTCCCCTGCTCCTCCTCCTCTCCTCCCTCCTCCTCCTCCCTCCTCCTCCTCCTCCTCCTCCTCCTCCTCCTCCTCCTCCTCCTCCTCCTCCTCCTCCTCCTCCCTCATGCGCGGCGAACAAATCACGACGGGATATGTTTGATAGTTTGCGGCCTCCGGGGTACCTCGTTGGGTCTCGGGGCCGCCCAAGAGCGACTCGGGGTGAAGGACCAGCCCTGGAGAACAGGTCGGGGCTTCCTAGTACCGCGCATGGACAAGCTCGGGACCTCGCATGTCTGTGGTGGTGAGGTGACAGACCGCGCGGTGACCTCGAAATCCTCGAAGACCTCACAGCACGGTCCGTCACCACACGGCTTTGAGACCTATGGGAGGCCTCAGTCGACCGAGAGACATCCTCGGAGAAGACCCAGGTCCCCAAACCGTACCGTCACCCCGAATCTCCACTGACCTCTGAGAGCCGCCGTAGCAAACTTAATAACAACGGTGTAACGAATCACGACCAGAGCGGACCTCGTCGTTCTGCGCCATGTTTCGAGCCGGATCGATCTCTGAGGGTCCTGGGGCCCGAAACTGGGCGAGAACGCCTGGCTCACAGAAGCTGAGACCACGAGGGCAACGAATCTTGCTCGCTTTTGGCCACCCTCGTTTACAACAGGGAGCCAAGCGATGCCAAACTACCCGTGGGGTGGCCTGCGACGGTCGGGCTGCTTGACGAGGAGGCACGTGGCGTGACTTGGTTCTGCCTGGAAGCGAAGGCGGGGTAGGCGATTCTCCGTCGCCGGAAGAAATGGGTATAGTTATGAAGTAGGAAGGCGTGGGGAGTGGATTGGGCTTCCGCCCTGAAGAGGAGGGAAGAAGGACAGCCGCTCGACTCTGGAAGTGGGAAGGCGCTTGAGGCAGATTGGGACCTGGGCATCCAGAGGTGGCTACTTTCAACGACCGACGTGTAGCACCCTGAGAGGCGCCAGGATACCGGGGGACTCACCGCCCCCTTGTGGTCACCGTACCCTTTTAAAACAGGGCTAGGATCGGGATAAGTCGCTCCAGAGCGTTCCGGAGCGCTCTGAGAGCGTTCCGGAACGCTCTGGAGCGGCCGCGGCGCCCAATACATCCTCCAAACCCGCCGATTCTCAGAGATTTCGAGTTATCCCGATCCGATTTTGTCCCGACCTTCGCGCCGTTTGACCTCTGGGGCCCCCGGGGCCTCTTCCAGCATGGCCAGGGCGCCGGCCACGGCCTCCCCGGGCGGCAGCAGGCTCAGGTTGGAGGCCAGCCCGGGCAGCTGCTCCAGCGACATCGACCGCGCCCAGTTCTTCAGCACGAACAGCCGCGACGGCAGCCGGGCCCAGAGCTCCGGCATCCTGTAGGACGGAGCCAGGACGAGGATCACATCGGGTGAGGATACATCGGGGAGCTCTGAGATCCCGCGGCTCTGGAGGATGTGTCGGTCGCCGCGGCCTTCTCAGAGCGTTCTGGAACGCTCTGGAGCGGATTTCATCATCGTCCTAGCCCCGTCCGATCCTGTCCCGCACCGCTTCCCCAGCGGACAGCACCGCCACGACCTCGTCGGGGCCCATCGACTCGAGGTCCCGCGCCATCACGGGCGCCACCTTTGGCAACAGCAACTCCGGGACGTGCGGCAGGCGGTCGCCGAGCTTCATGGAGGACGAGAAGATCCTGGCGGCCACGCCCTCGGGCACGTCGCTCTCCTCCAGGAGCGCCCCGAGGCGGTCCAGCAAGCCGCCCAGGCCGGGGTCGCTGGACACCACGCCCTTTAGATACACCTTGTCCAGAAACTTGAGGCACTTTGCGGCATTGTGGACGGTGAAGTCCGGCTTCGAGATCTCCCCCTCCCACATCCTCATCACGTCCGCGTAGCTGGGCAGCATCAACTTGTTCTTGCCCAGCGTCAGCTCCCTCGGGTTGCGGATCTTCACCGAGCTCCAGGCGCGCGAACTCCGATCGCGCGTCCGCCGCGCGCCCGCGCCGAGCCCCCCTCGCGCGTCCGCTTGCGCGTCCGCTCGCGCGTCCGCTCGCGCGCCCTCTCGCGCGTCCGCTTGCGCGTCCGCCGCGTCCGCTCGCGCGTCCGCTCGCGCGCCCGCCGCGGCGCCGCCCTCGCCGAGCGCCGCTGCCGCCAAGCCCCCCGGGCCGCGCGCGCCTCCGCCCGCGGCCCTCCCGCGGCCCCGGCGCCCGCCCGCGGCGCCGGCGGCCCGCCCACGCAGAGGCCCGCGCGGGGCGCCCGCGCTCGCGCTGGCAGGGCGGCGGGCCCGCCCGCGCTCAGCGCCAGGAGCGCCGCGAGGGCGACGCGCGCCCGCCGCGGCGCCGCGGACCGCGAGGCCTGCACCCGCCGCGGCGCGGCGGGCCCGCGGCATGTGCGCCGCCCGGGGGCCGCGCGGGGGCTGCGCGGCGGGAGAGCGCCCCGCCCCCCCCCCCCCCGAGAGATCCGTCGAGTGGGGGGCCGGCTACAAAATGGACGGACCTCAAAAGAGCGCACTGTTCGTGGAACTCTTGCAAAAATTGCGACGTGCTTTCTGTAGAATCCGACGAACAAAAAACAATTCTGGGGTACACCGATTCTGCAGCCGATCCCCTAGGCGCTGCTTTTTTTCGAGCCAGGCGTGACTTTGCCCGGTTTGTTTCGGGCCCCGGGGCCCTCACGGAGCGATCCGGCTCGAGAGATATGGCGCAGAGAAAGATGGGGTCCCCGGGGCTCTGGTCATGGCTTGTCACGAGGTTGCATTCTTGTCGCCACGTCGGATCTCAGGGCCTCCGCGGGCGCGCGCGAGCAAGGCCCCTCTGGAACCAGAGCGGCTTGTTCTTGGTTCTCTTTCGGGAGACGAACGACGATGGAAGGACGAGTGGGTAGCATGAGTGGGTCAGTCGTACAATAGTTCATCGGCAACGCACGCCGAGCTCGGGCCAACGGGCGGCTGCTTTGGCCCGCGGAGCCAGAGCAGCTCTGCGGTTACTACCAGGATCCCATGTCGAAGCCAATGCTTGTTCCCCGCTGCTGATCTGCAGTGCGAGACAAGTAGTACATAAGGAAGCAAGCACCTGTAAATACATGCGTTCCATGAACGCATGCAGCCAGAAATAATGCATAACTCATTGTATCATTCACGCCTCTGGCTGACTTACTGTTCCTTCTCCTCGTCATGCTGCTCCTGCTGCTCCTTCTCCTCCTCCTCCTTCTCTTCCTCCTCCTCCTCCTCCTTCCCCTCTGACTCCTGCTCCTGCTTCTGGTTTTTCCCCTGATTCCTTGAGTTGTTTTTTGTTGCTGGGGCACTTTAATGTATTGCTTTCCCTTGCCAGGCCAAGAGCAATTCATGTCTGCAACATTCCTGTGCTGTGCACTCGTTTTGAATAGAGCGATCGCTGCTCATCCGTCCATTATACTGTCCCTTTTCCCCCCTCCTCCTCCTTGCTGTTCTCAACCCTCATGGGCCTTCGTTTTGAAGAGAGCGCTGCTGCTCCTCCGCTTCTCGTTCTCCTCCTCCTCCTCCTCCTCCTCCACCTCCCGCCTCCTCCCTCATGCTCCCACCTCCTCCCTTATCCTCCTGTGTTGGGCGCTTGTTTTGAGCAACAAAAGCACTGCTGAGCCTCCTTACCGCCTCCTCCTCCTCCTCTTCCTCCTCCTCCTCCTCCTCCGTTATCCTCCTCCTCCTCCTCCTCCTCCTCCTCTTCATCCTCCTTCTCCCTGCCGCCTCCTCCGTCCTCCTCACTTCGCTTCTTCCCCGCTTCCCCTCCCACGCCTTCCCTGGGTGCCCTTCCCTGGGCGCTTCCAGTCGCAACCGTTGCCGCTCATGGGAGTTTCGCCCGAATGCGATGCAACGCGGATTCAGGTTAAAACCTCCCCTCCCTGGGCGCTGCCAACAGCGCAACCGCCGCTTTTTCATCGATGTTCGCGAGGCCCAGCGGAGTGCGGTGCTGAACGGATCCAGACGAGACCTCCCCTGCCTGGGCGCTGCCAGCTGCGCAACAGCCGCCACTTGCGTGAGATCCTGGAGGGTGCAGAAGAGTGCGGTCCTGCACGGATCCAAGTTGGACCTCCCCTTCCTGGGCGCTGCCAGCGGAGGGCGGTCCTGAACGGATAGAGAGACGAGACCTCCCCTCCGTGGTCGCTGTCAGCTGCGGAGCAGCCGCCACTTTTGTGTGCTCCTGGGGGGTCAGGCGGAGGGGGGCGCTAAACAATTCCAGACTGGACCTGCCCTCAACAATCTTCACTTTCGTGATCTCCTGGGCAATACAACGGATTACGGTCCTCAACGGATCTGGGGCAGACGTCCTCTCCGTGGGCGCTGCGAACTGCGCAACTGCCGCCGCTTCCGTGAGCTGCTGGCAGGTACAGCGGATTGAAGTCTTACTCGGATCAAAACGTCCTCTCCTTGGGCGTTGCTCATTGTGCATCTGGTGCCGCTTCCATGAGCACCTGGCAGGTTCAGCGGAGTGACACCTAAAGGCTGCAATTATCTTTCCTTCGGCCTCGACTCATACTACTCTCCTGAGCATAACACCCCAACCCTGCGGCGCGGAGCGCCCCAGAAGCGCCGCTGGAGGCGGCGCCAGGGTGTTCAGACAGCCCTTGACTACGAGGCCATCAGGCACTACCCGGGGAGGCTGTTGAGGCCAGCCAGGACTACGTTCGAACCCGGACAGTAAGGATGCGCGGTGAGGATGCAAGGGCCCTGGACGCCCATGCCGAAGCTTCTCGAGAGGGGCTGGCCATCCCAAGTGGTTGAGGATGCACCGGAGATGAGCGAAGAGGCAAGGATGACCGAAGGGGTACCCCTGGGAAGTCGACCCTCCTCCTCCTCCTCCTCCTCCTCCTCCTCCTCCTCCTCCTCCTCCTCCTGGGAAGTCGGCCCTCCTCACTATCGATGTGGACTGTACCTGGGGGAGCCGTCCGTGCGCAACCCGAAGCCTCGCCACGTCTGCGGCATCTGGTACCCTGATGCGGGGCAACGGCAGGGGGGGACTGGCACAGGGGGTGTTGCATCGACCCGGAATCGGCGATACATCGCCGATAGATCGGCGATAGCCTCCCGATAGCGAACTTGATGAGGGGCAACGGCAGGGGGGGACTGGCACAAGGGGTGCTGCATCGACCCGGAATCGGCGATACGTCGCCGATAGGTCGGCGATAGCCTCCCGATAGCGAAACCGTATTTCCCTGGGCAGGGTGGGGCTATCAGACCCCTACATCGGCGATCAATGGGCCAATTCAGGGTCGTTGCATCCCCTCCCTGTGCCTATCCCCCCCTGCCGTTGCCCCTGATGACCTCTTCCTGGGGACGGTGCGCCGCAGGCTGTCCTTAGGTCGGGCATGTCCTCCTACAGGCAGGTTCTGGGCGAAAAGAAAAATAGTAAAAGCAATACCCAAACAATCATCGACAAATCATAGAAAAGCATCGTCCCTGGACGACGCCTTGTCTTGACTCTTTGGGAATACTCCTCCTGTAGAGGCACACGCCCGACTGCAGCAGGCTGCCCCCCATAAAACAGGGCTAGGATCGGGATAAGTCGCTCCAGTGCGTTCCGGAGCGCTCTCAGAGCGTTCCGGAACGCTCTGGAGCGGCCGCGGCGCCCAATACATCCTCCAAACCCGCCGATTCTCAGCGATTTCGAGTTATCCCGATCCGATTTTGTCCCGATCCTCGCGTCGTTTTACCCCCCCCCCCGGCGCCCGCGGGATGCGCTTGATCGCGACCAGGGCCCGGCCCTGCTGGCCGAGGTCCTGGGCCTGCGGGGGGGGGGGGAAGGGGCGCGCAGCGGGCGGCGCAGTGGGCCCCGGCAGGGAGAGCCCGGAGCCCCGAGGGTGCGGGGCGCGCTCGCGTGCAGGCTCTGGCAAGCTTGCTTGCATGGGCACTGCTCCCTGCCCCCCCCCTCCCCTGACCTTCCAGGAGGGCTAAAAAAATAGCACCCGACCTAAAAACCTTATCCTAGAGCTGTTCTACGTCTTGGTTTTAGGCTGTTTCGCTCCGATTTTTAGGTTTTTAGGTTTCCAGTGCTAAAAAATAGCTCTCTGGAAGGTCAGGGTCAGCCCCCCTCCCCCCCCCTCCGCCGCCTTTTCAAGCAGCGCAGGGCCAAAGAGGCGCGCCAGCGAGACCCGGCCTGCTCGAAGTCGCGATTTCCTGCAAGGGTGCACTTGTCGGAATCTACAGGTGAACGGGCTCTCTCCGACGAGATGCTT